TAAATAGAATCACCCTAAAACAAAAAGAAGAAAAACTTAATGGAATATCAACCTTTATCAATAGGACTTTTAGATGATTAACCCTACAAAATAACACTATAAAACTAATCATTTCAAAAGCTCTTCCCAAGAATTCTAAGTAAAACAAAAACCTTGTAAGTTGTAAAAATCTCTTTGGAACCGCTACTCAAACGAGTAAAGATCTTCTGTAGTGTTTTTCCTTGTAGTGTTTGTGTAGTGCACCAAAATGACGTCGTTTTGGTGCTCATACCAAAAAAATGAAATGAAACAAAATGTAAAAGAGAAAAAAAAAAGCCAGAGAGAAGAAGACCCACATTGCAAACAGAGCACTTTTTCACCTTCCTTTCTCACAATCGACTACCATGACCACCTCTGGCAATCACCCCTCATTTCCCATTCTCTCCCCTCCCTCTCCTTTCCCAAAATCTGCTATTAGCATCTCTGGTGACCCCCCGCCTGCGAGATCCACCTCATCTTCCCACTGTAGACCCACCCCTACCAATCCTTTCTCCATCTCAACTCCGACGAGCCTCTCTAACCCATTTCTACCCCCACCCGTCCCTGCTTGGCCACCATTGCCACCGCAAGCTCTCTCTATCTCTATCTCTATTTCGATCTCGCCAGTGCTAGTGTTAGCAGGGGTAGTAGGGTGGTTAGATAATGGAGGGGTAGTATCGGTCAAGCACCTGTCTCTCTCTCTCTCTCTCGCCTATAGGTCTTCTCTCTCGTGCTTCTATGCTTTGCTCTTGCGTTTTGTTGCAAAATTATTTTTTTGGGGGTGTGCAACAAAATGACGTTAGTTTAGTTTTGCATGTGGCATTTATCCGTGCAAAATTCTAATGGTGAATGACAGCGAGACCACATTGCAACAAAATTGAAAATATAGGGTTTAAATTGAAACTGCATTGACTAAACTGACATTTCATTTAAACTATATGGACTAACGGTTGTTCCTTAACCTCAAAACTCTTTATTTCAAATTCTAGGGATAATTACAAAAAAAAAAAATTCCAATGTTTGACCCTTGCAACAATATAAACTCTGAGTTTTCAATTTTATCAATTTAAACCATAATCTTTTAATTTGTTTTTAATCTAAATCATTTGTCTACTTTTGTTAACTAAAAATGATCATAACAAAATAGTGTTTTAGTTATTAAACTCAATGTAGGTACATAAAATGTCCAAAATACCCATTTTCATTGAGTTTAATGACTAATATATCCATTTTTCTATCGATTGTACTTAACAAAAATAGACAATTGATTCAGATTGAAAACAAATTAAAAATTCAGTTTCTAAAATGATAAAATTAAAATTCATGGTTTATTTTGTTACAAGGGTCATTTTTTGTTTTTTTTGTTTTTTGTTTTGTGTGTGTGTGTGTGTGTGTAATTTCCGCTAAATTCTTCCATCCAAAATACAATCTTAGTATTTTTAAATAAGAAACTTACGTGTAAATCTTAATATGTGGCCTTATTGTCCAATATGTCCTGTGAGAATTAATAGCTTTTTTCATCAAACACTGTTAAAAAAAAAAAATCACTAATTGTTAATTTTCAGTGACAGTTTGAAAATTTTGTCACAAAAAATTGTCATAATTGTAAGTTTTAACGACGGTTTAAATAAATCATCAGAAAAAGTCACTAATTTTTAACTTTCAGTGACAGTTTGAAAAATTCATCACATAAAAATGTCACTAATTGTAAGTTTTGGAAACAATTTATAAAAAAACGTAACAAAAAAAAAAGTCACTAGTTGTTAATTTTTAGCGACATATGCAAAAAATAGTCATAAAAAATTATTTTTAGCGACGATTTTACTAAGACTTATTTTCAATAATACTTCATAGGAATTAAGGCCAACTATTAGGACCAATTGCTATTTTACCCTTTAAATAATTTGGTCCAAGTTCTCAAAATCACACCCCAATTCATATTAGTTTAGCAAAATTTTTAGTCAAAAGAAATTGGGCAAATTATACCTATAGTATTATACCTATAGTCTCTATACTTGCCTCTCATGTCAATTTGGTTTCTGTAATATTAATTTTACCCTTTAATTTTTCAAATTGTGTCAATCTAGTCTAAGAGATAATAGCCGTTAAAAAATTGAATAAAAATCAAAGGCAAAATGAACTACTAAAAAGATAATGAATCATTTCAAATTGGACGCGAATCCTTCAATAACTTTGAAGGGAATTAAAAAAACCATTTTGTCTCTTAATTTTAGTCCAATTTTTAAATGAAATATTATCAATTAGACTAAATTGATACCATGTGCAAAATCGAAAGGTAAAATTGATGCATTAAAATTACAAGAACCAAATTGATATAAACAAACTAGAAGAATTAAATCTAATTTGTCTAAAGAAATACGACTCATAAAAAGAGAAATTTGTTCCTAAATACTAATTAATTTCAAGTGTAGTTTGACGCTCATATCTTTGCATCCAACAACATATTCAATCCAAAGTATGTTGTGTTCTCATTATAGCCCAAAAGGTCAAATGAAAATAGCAAAATAATAACTAAATTTATAATTGCCCCACAACAACGAAGCTTAAATAAATAAATAAATAAATAAGCTTAAGTCAAAGAAGCATACCTTATTGAAAAGAGGTTGAGTAGTATCGTAATTGCTATCCGAAGTATTACAAAAACTAATGAGCTTTGGCATCTGGCTGAGTTTCAGCGTGTTCAATTGCAGCAACTCAATTCCATTCACAGCCTTGCAGATTGCAGTAAAACTTGGCAGGTCATGGAGATACAAGTCCTCAAGTTTAGGAAACACAATTTTATCTGTTGCTTCTGTTGTTGTTGATGCTATCCCATTTTCATCTCCTTCTTCTTCACTCGAAATAAGTACTTCCAACTTACTACATTCAGATACAAGAAGTATCTCTAGTTGCATCAGATCTCTGGCTATGGATAATGAGAACATGCTTTCCAGTTTATCACATCTCTCCACTTTTAGAAAAGTGAGGTTGCGGAGCTGTACAAGTTGAGTAGGACCCTTCCACAAATGTGTCAATGCGGGCATTTCCCATAGTGGTAGCGTTTTCAACGCACTGAAGGCCACCTGTAATGCTCCAATTTTCATAAAATCCGATGAAACAAATCAAACTCATATTCCTTATTTATGTTCAAATCAAATCAAATTAACATGCGGAAGCCAAAAATCCAATCAAGATTCAACAATAATCATATACAAAATAATTATCTTTTCCTGTTATACTTCATTTCATTATAGTTTGAGATTTACAAAAGAGATTACATACGATTACACATTCACAATTTCCAAGGCATGGATCTATAACATGTGGTATAATACTTCATAAATATTCAAAATTTAAATGCCCTAATGGATTACAAGTTACAATGGTTAGAACCCTATTACAAAAAGAATGGGTCTCTACCCAAACATATAAACCAATGCTATACAAAAATAAGCAAACAAAATGAAGGAGCATTCATGCTCCAAAAATCACATCACGAGCCTTCAACGAGGCGGAGGCAAATCACCAACAACTAAAAATGATTTTCCACGAAGGGATGAACATTGATGCCCAGTAGATATATTATTAACAATATATATGAGATTAACAAGATTATGATCATGAATGCAATCATGTGTGCTATGCTTAAAATATAAGCTTTTTTTTTTTTCGATAGGATGCTCAATCCACAACTTTCAAAATAATATTCATTTCAACATTTTCATTTCAAAACATCGGGCCAGTAAGGCCTTGTTTGGCAAAGGCTAAAATTTGGCTTTTTAGGCTAAAATTCACAAAAAGACAAAAGGCTAAAATAGCTAATAAGACAAAATGTCACATCAAACTCATAATCATTTCACTTTTTCTCTTACAAACATCACATCTAACTACAAAAAAATCAACCATCTTCCCAAACACAAAAATTTTAGCCTACTAAAGTAATGAAAAACTAAAATAGCCTACTAAAAAAGCCAACTTCCCAAACAAGGCCTAAATAAGACATTCGAATTTCCTAGTACGTGTCTGCAAATAGGCCCTCAAGCACTACCAAATACTACTTTAGCGGCTACTAACCAGAAGGAATTTGATACCTATTCCGCTCGTGTTTTAGAACTTTTACCATGACTCAAACCAACTTAATTCTCAAATCCACAATTACATCCCCTATTCAGATTTACCACGTTATCAACATTTCCAATATTTTCAAAATAATAGCACAATCTCATTGTAAGGCCATGGAAGTGCAATGGATGCATGAAACAATAATCTGTAACCAAATACTCCAATAAGAAAATATATTTAGAGCATAACTCAACATTCTGACAAAATTCAAAATAGTATGAGATTCCTATAAACTCATCAGTTACTCTCAAACAAATATCCCATATTTCATAATTTCTATTATTTCCAATAAATTCAAGATAACTAACTTCTCCAAGGAAATTCACAATCTCCGTAATAAATCACCAATTTTCACATTATTCCAACAATTTAATCCTGTTCAAAATCACATTTTTCATTTCTCAAATTTTCTAGGGTTTGAAAAAAATTTAGAGTTTTCTTTATTTAAATATAACCGAAGTTTTAAATAACGGTGGCGGTTACTGAAATGGTAGTGGTAATACAGACGCGGTTGCGCAGTGTAACTGCCGTTGTGTAACTAAGGCAGCAACTGGAGCCATGAATTTTTTAATTCTTTGCACAACTTTAAGAAAGCATACCGATATGCATGTTTTTATTTCAGATTCACATTTAGTGAGGCTCAAAATGATTTTTAGTATTTTTGTTTAGTTTTAAAAAAATGATCCAATAAATATACTAATTTTTATATTTGTTTTAAGTTGCTCTGAAAAACTTTCCTATTGTTGAATTTATTTAATTTTCATTACTTTACTAATTATAATTATGGATAACTTTTTTGATTTGTTAAAAAAAATGAATATTAAAACAATAGTCTCATAAATAGAAATTCAAAATACAAAATGACAAACATAATAATGTAAAAGTACGTAACATGAAATTTAAATTTTGTTCAAAAAATTTAACATAAGAGAAATATATTAAGTTCATATTCAAATATAATTAAGTAAAAGAGTAATTAAACCCTGTAGAACTTGAAGATTGGACATTCAAAATATATATAGATAAGATTTTTACTTAAATTTTACATAACTAGAAAATAAAAAGAGAAAATAGCAATATACGCAAAATTTATATAAAAATAATATATATATATATGTATATGTTTAATGGCTGTAATAGTACTGTAGCAGCAATGTAACGGCCGCTACAGCCTTTACGTAACGATGGCGGCCGTTGCGGTCATGAATTTATGTCACACCAGTATAGCGGTCATAACAGGTAGCGATGATAACCACCACAAACATTACATAATGACGTTAGTAATGGTTGCGGTTGCTTTTTAAAATCTTGAATATGACACTTTGAAATTTGTATACCATATATCATTTTGGGTAGAGAATTTTAAACATTTGATAAAATATGAGCAAATCCTAATTTTTATACAATATATATATAATAAAAGACCTCAATTTCTTCAAAATCATAACTAACAAAAAATACCACACAATCAAGGTAAAACAAATATACAAAGAGGAGAAGAAAAGTCTAAAAATCAAATGCATCAAAAACGCAATCGGCTTAGGTCAAACAAAACCCTCAAGACACTCTATAGTTCGTATCAAAATAGCAAGGTGAGATTCTAACTCTAGATATGGTGGATCGAATGTTTTGTGTGATAATAAAAAAATTATTTAAAAAAGGGAGAGACAGAAGAAAGGAAGAGAAAGAGAGACGGACGGAGAAGAAAAAAATGGAAGGAAAGAAAGAAATGATTGGATTTGTGAACTTCACATTATTGGGCAAGAAAATGCCCCTCATTGATCTACACAGCAAGAGTTTCTTTCCTCAGTACCATTCAGCTTGTTTGGTACCACAAAAATTCATTTTTTTTAGTTTTTTAAAAAATTAAAACTTTTTGTTTTTTTATTATTTTTATTTTCACTGATTTTTTTTAATATTTTAAGTAATTTTTTAATTTTTAGATGCACCTAACATAGATACACTTAAAAAGTAAAATATTTGTGAAAAAAATCTTTAAAAAAAATCACTAAATACCAAAAATATTTTTAAAAAAATAAGAAAATTCAGTATATTTTTATATTTTTGTATATTTATTGATTTTTTTTAAATATTTTATTTTATAGATATATCTAAGTAAGGTACATCTAAAAATGTAAAAAAAAATTATTTATAATTTTAAAAAATATTCACTAAAAATTAAAAAATACGAATAATAAAAAACTCTATTTTCAAAAAATTAAATTTAGAAATTAAAATCAAACACAGTGATTAGCTTTTGCTAGTTTGATTGCGGGAGGATAAGCAAGTTTGTTTGCTTGATCTCTCTAGTAGTTAATTGTTAGCTTTTGTTTTCTTTTTTTTTTTCTTTTATCTTTTTTTGAACTAAGCTTTTGTTTTCTTGGCTTGGGGCCTATCTTACCACAAAAATAAATAAATAAATAAATTACACTAACACCCCTAAGATTTATATTTAATACAAATCCCTTCTTCACATTTGAAAAATTATATTCTTCTTCCTGAGATTTGTAATCTCATAACAAATTACCTCTTAAATTGTTATTGTCATGCTCTAAAATTTTCTAAATGATCATCTTGTCCTTTTTCTTACTATTTTTTTCTTCTTATCATCATGACTACATTCTACAACTATTCATCATTAAATTCTATGTAAACATATTCTTATTCAGTGATAATATACAAACATAAATTTTATATAGAATTTTCAAACGCAATGATAGCTCACATTTCACTTTAAAACAAAACACTCATAAACATGATTTATATTTATAACAACATCATTATCATAACATTTTTATGATTTTTTGTATAAATTTTTATATATAAATATAATTTTTTATTTTTATTTCCACCATTATACTTAGATTAGATCAATTTAATCTAGATATGTTTAAAAAGTATAAAATTTATATAAGAAAATTATAAAAAAAAAATCATTGAATACAACAAAATAAGATAATGTATTGAATTTTTGTTTTTTATTTATTTATTATTTTATTTTATTTTTTGTATTTGGTGAATTTAAAAAAAAAAATCACAAAATATTATAATTCTTAAGTATATCTAAATTAGGTGTACCTAAAAAAAATTTTAAAAAAATTGCTTAAAATGTTAAAAAAATTCAGTAAAAATAAACAAACTTAATTTTTTATGGGAGTAAAATCAAAAAAGATGATTGTTATTTTTTTTGAAATAACATGAACAAAATATCTGTATTATTTTATTATTTTATATGTATAAAGGTTAAAGGGCAAATATGTCATTTTAATTTGACAAGAAAGTGAGTATAATTTTTCAAATATAAAAAGATCTATATTAAACAGAGATCTCAAAGATGTCAGTGTAATTTAGCCAAAAAAAAAAAAAAAAAGGGGGAAACCCCCACGTGGTCTCTGCTCTCCCTCCCATCAAAACTTTATTTATTTATTGATTATTATTATTATTTATAATATCTATCTCAGTGTCTATATCTATATCTATATGTACCTATATATATATATATATATGTATAAAATAACAAATACAATTTTAGTAACACTATAATATTGTGACATAAATAATAAAATGGTATAATTGTTTCTTCATTACAAAATATATTTTGTTTGATGGTACACATTATAAATATCCATAACTCTCTCGTAGTAGTAAATAAATAATAATAATAATAATCTAGAGAGCCTCCTAATTTTATTCTAAAATTTATCATAATCACTCGACACAACCTTGGGCGCTACTTTGTTTAAAAAGAAAACAAATAAACAAACAAACAAAGTGCTCCATAAGATTTTTTTTTATTTAACTTTTTTTTTTCATTCGTTTAGTATAAATAAACTTAGATCTCTTCGTCTGCGCATGGGATACATTATTAGATAAACTTTATTTGGTAGCGTTATTTTCAACTTATTTTTAATTAATTTTTTTTTTAAATTAAAAATTAGTTTGTTAAAAATAATAATTACCAAAATTAAAATTTTAAAATTTCCAAAACTATTTTTCACCCAAAAAGAGAACCATATCAAAATAATGAGTTTTTTTTTTTTTTCACCAAACTAATTTTTGATTTTTTTCAGAAAAAAATTATGAAAATTGAATAAGGGGTTTATTAAATTTTTAATGGTAAGAAAACGCCAAAAAAAATGTTGATATTAAAAATAAATTTATTCTTTTGCATATTGCTCCTTGCAAAGTAGGGTTGTAGCACAAGTTCCAAAAAGAGTTTAGAAACACATTTCCATCTGATACAATCCTCTCAAGTGAAAGGTCACATCTTTTGTAAATTTCGTACTTGCATAAATAAATAAAAAAATTGAGTACTTACTTGTAAGTTTTAATAAGTGAACTAATTGTCTAGTAGGTTTTATGATAAAAATTTATTATAAAAAATGTCACTAATTATAAGTTTTAACGACAATTTATAACAATAATAACAAAAAAAAAATCACTAATTATCAATTTTTAATGACATATATAAAAAATTATCACCAAAAAAATTATTTTTAATAACAATTTTACCAAGACTTATTTTCAATAGGACTTGATGAAAATTAAGTCCAACTATTAGGACCTATTGGTGGTTTACCCTAAAAAAATTATATTTTCGATTCTATAATTGTAATAACTCTCACACTGTTCTAACCATACTCATATGCATTCATATGATTCTGTCTTGTTAAGTTTGCATTTCAAGTCTTGTTCTTGTTCGCTTAAGTGTTTTCTGCATGTTTTGTACCTTGCTTGGTATGAGTTTAGCCGAGGTCATCTTCAGTCTAGAATTATCTTGGAACCACTTTGTTTGACCTCCACCTTCACCTAGCATGTTGACTGAGATGTCACTATCTAGGCCGAGGTGTTCATCGCCAAGGCCGAGATGTGTATTATCTAGGCCGAGATGCTACCCTTGAACCCAAGTGATCTTGCCCCTGGATTGGTACGATCTAGACCGAGGTGTGGCACATCTAGGCCGAGGTGTGACACAGCTAGGCCAAGTGTCGTCCTCTCTAGCCGAGGTCATTATCCCTTGCTTGCCGAAGTCTTGTCGTTAGCCGATGTCATTACTTGCCGGAGTACCCTTACCGCCTAGCTTGTTGAACACACTTTGTCATAGTCTTGTCTTTTCACTCAACCACCTTTTTGGGAAAGAGCCAACCAGCCGATGCCACGTGTCCCAGCTGGGTGTTAAGTCAGCCGGCAGACCTAGAAGTGTATCATTTGTTTTATATCTTTGTTCTTGAGGAGAGAGAAGCTCTAGGAGAATGAGGAAGAGTTTGAGTGAGAGAGTAGATTGCAAGCTTGATCTTTGGAGTTTGAACCGTTGGATTTGAGTCTTGAGGTTAGAATCTTAATCTACTCTTGTTATTCTTATTGATCATCTAGCTGCATTGCATGATTGAATCTGTCCTCCATGCCATCCATTGATTTAAAGTTGGTTTTAGAAAGAGAAAATAGTGTTCATGAGTTCTTGAAGAAAAAGTCTTGTTTGATCCGAGAGTTTGCATTAAGATTCATGTTTTTGTATTTGTTCTCACAAGATCTTTGAATATGGGTACCCAGGTCCATGTTTTTGAATCCATAGCATGAAATCTCAGATTTTTTAATAGCAAATTATGATCTTTGCATTCATCTTCCTCATGTTCATGTTCTTCATGTTCGTCATGTTCTTCAAAAGAGGGAAACCCAGATTTTTCCCGACTTCATTTCCTTGAATGTGGCCATCGGGACCACACCTCGGCAAGGAGGTGTGGGACCTCGGCCTAGACCTGGTAGTTGCCCAGCATGTTTTCCCGAGATGAGGAACTGTGTTTTGTTTTGATTTGACTTAGTTTGAAATGCCGAGATCATCTGCATACATGTGAAACTTGTTTGAAAATGCATTCAACAGACTTTGCCATGTGTTTGTAGGACTTGGACTTGCCTTGACCTCGACGTTTGAAGAACTATGTGAGTGGTATTTTTTAATAAAGTTATGTTATTAAGTTTTGATAAAGTTTTGCCTTACTAGTTTTGGAAAAGTATTTGTTAAACATGAATGACTATCCCTATTTTGTATATCAAGTATTAACTTTGGTTTTGACAATCTTTGGAAGTCCGTGCGTGCTAGGGGACTATAAGCATTTGTAGCACAATCTTTGGAAGTCCGTACGTGCTAGGGGACTATAAGCATTTGTAGCACAATCTTTGAAAGTCCGTACGTGCTAGGGGACTATAAGCATTTGTAGCACAACCTTTGTTAATGTCATCTCTTGGAACTTGGAAGCCTTGAAAGACTTTAATTGTTGAGACTTGAAAGATTTGTTAGATAAACTTGATTTGCCCTTGGATTTTGTACAAGATGTGATGTGCCTTGATTTGATAAAGATTTCGGATATCATTCATGTAAACCCCTTTATTATTTATACCGTTCACTGAGTATCCAAGCTCACCCCTCTCTATATATATGTAGGTGACGAACAAGACGGCGGTGACGCCTAGACGTACTTGCAATTTGTTTTGGATTTAGCGTTTTTGTAGCATCTTGAAGATCATGCTTCTTGGTTGTATTCCCTTGTATTTTGTATTTGACGGCTTGAGAAGCCTTTTGGTCAAGATGGATTTTTGTACTTCCTTTTGTTTGTATTCAAGATTTGTAAAGCTATGTAAAGATGTATGCCATTCTATTTAACTTATGCACTGCTCTTATGGACTAATTAGATTTGTATATATATTGTTTCCGCACAAATTGGCCCCATATGAAATATTCTGATTGTGTGTCAATTTTTGAAAGTTGGCCTTCGGTAGTCTCGGATTACTGGCCATCACGGTACCATTCTACTAGGGGCGGAATGGGGTCGTGACAATAATTGATTTTTGTACAAGAAAAAAAATTATTCCTACTAAACAAAAAAAATAATAATAATAATATAAAAAAAAGGCTTTACAGTGCACTGTTTTTTTTTTTCTGTGTTTTTTTTTTATTTATTTGTTTGCGCTTTCAACTTTGCTTTCAAAGAATCCCCACGTTAAGGTGGCTGTCATGTGGATTATGATAAATTTTCGGATAAATCTGAGAAGCTCTCTAGACTTATTGACAATACTAAGTACAACTGGTAATTATAAATAAGTTAGGACTCAATCAATTAAGTTCAAAAATTAATAAAATTTAATAATTTAAAATAATTGATCAAGTGAGACTAGAGTATGAAATAATTTTAAAAGGACTCAAGGTGATCCCATTGTTAAAATAATTTATTAAGTGAAACTAGAGTATGAAATAATTTTAAAAGGACTCAAGGTGATCCCACTGTTTATATAATTAAATATGAGCCAAAATAATTAAGCGTGGACTAATCAAATAAAACTCAAAAATTAAATTTATATTCAAATCTAGTATCTTTTTTGAACGGAGATTTAATACTCAAGACTCGAGAATAATTAAAACTAAAAAAAAAACTGTCGAGTGGGCCTCACGAAGTTGAAATAAAAAAGTAATATAATTTATTTTTATCAATTTAAATAGAATGGTAACCACACAACAAACATAATTAAGCAATTTAGAAATTCATATCAATCCAACTCTAAATAATACCTGAACTCAAAAACACACTAAAAAAATTATTAAACAAGTATCGATAAAAAAACAAATTGAGTTTAGATTCAACTCGTTACAATTTGAAGTCAAAGAAGCATACCTTATTGAAGAGAGGTTGAATAGTATCGTAATTGCTATCCGAAGTATTGCAAAAACTTTTGAGCTTTGGTATCATGTGGAGTTCCAGCCTGTTCAATTGCAACAACTCAATTCCATTCACAGCCTCACAGATAGCAGTAAAACTTTGCAGGCTTTCAAGATACAATCCCTTTAGTTTGGGAAACACAATTTTATCTGTTGCTTCTGTTGCTGTTGATGCTATCTCATTTTGATCTCCTTCTTCTTCACTCGAAATAAGTACTTCCAACTTACTACATTCAGATACATGAAGTATCTCTAGTTGCATCAGATCTCTGGCTATGGATAATGAGAACATGCTTTCCAGTTTATCACATCTCTCCAATTTTAGAAAAGTGAGGTTGCGGAGCCGTACAAGTTGAGTAGGACCCTTCCACAAATGTGTCAATGCGGGCATTTCCGATAGTTCTAGCGTTTTCAACGCACTGAAGGCCACCTGTAATGCTCCAATTTTCATAAAATCCGATGAAACAAATCAAACTCATATTCCTTATTTATGTTCAAATCAAATCAAATTAACATGCGGAAGCCAAAAATCTAATCAAGATTCAACAATAATCATATACAAAATAATTCTCTTTTCTTGTTATACTTCATTTCACTATAGTTTGAGATTTTCAAAAGAGATTACATACGATTACACATTTACAATTTCTAAGGCATGGCTCTATAACATGTGATATAATACTACATAAATATTCAAAATTTAAATGTCCTAATGGATTACAAGTTACAATGGTTAGAACCCTGTTACAAAAAGAATGGGTCTCTACCCAAACATATAAACCAATGCTTTACAAAAATAAGCAAACAAAATGAATGAGCATTCATGCTCCAAAAATCACATCACGAGCCTTCAAAGAGGCGGAGGCAAATCACCAACAACTAAAAATGATTTTCCACGAAGGGATGAACACTAATGCCCAGTAGATATAATATTAACAATGTATATGAGATTAACAAGATTATGATCATGAATGCAATGATGTGTGCTATGCTTAAAATATAAGCTTTTTTTTTTTTTTTTTTAAATAGGATGCTCAATGCACAACTTTCAAAATAATATTCATTTCAATATTTTCATTTCAAAACATCGGGCCAATAAGGCCTTGTTTGGCAAAGGCTAAAATTTGGCTTTTTAGGCTAAAATTCACAAAAAGACAAAAGGCTAAAATAGCCAAGAAGACAAAATGTCACATCAAACCCATAATCATTTCATTTTTTCTCCCACAAACATCACATCTAACTACAAAAATATCTAACCATCTTCCTAAACACAAAAATTTTAACCTACTAAAATAGCCAACTTCCCAAACAAGGTCTAAATAAGACATTGGAATTTCCTAGTACGTGTCTGCAAGTAGGCTCTCAAGCACTACCAAATACCACTTTAACGGCTACTAACCAAAAGGAAATTGATACCTATTTCGCTCGTGTTTTAGAACTTTTACCATGACTCTTAAACCAACTTAATTCTCAATTCCACAATCACATCCCCTATTTAGATTTACCACGTTATCAACATTTCCAATATTTTCAAAATAATAGCACAATCTCAATGTAAGGCCATGGAAGTGCAATTGATGCATGAAACAGTAATCTGTAACAAAATATTCCAATAAGAAAATATATTTAGAGTATAACTCAACATTCTCAATAATTCCAAAATAGTATGAGATTTCAATAAACTCATCAGTTACTCTCAACATATATCCCATATTTCATAATTTCTATTATTTCCAATAAATCCAATAAATTCAAGATAACTAATATCTCCAAGGAAATTCACAATCTCCATAATAAATCACCAATTCTCACATTATTCCAACAATTTAATCCTATTCAAAAATCACATTTATCATTTCTCAAATTTTCTAGGGTTTGAAAAAAATTTAGAGTTTTCTCAATTTAAATATAACCAAAGTTTTAAATAACGGTGGCGGTTACTGAAATGGTAGCGGTAATGCAGACGCGGTTGCGGGGTGTAACTACCATTGTGTAACGGTGGCGGTAACTAGAGTCGTGAATTTTTTAATTCTTCGCACAACTTTAAGAAAGCATACCGATATGCATGTTTTTATTTCAGAATCACATTTAGTAAGGCTCAAAATGATTTTTAATATTTTTGTTTAGTTTTAAAAAATGATCCAATATATACTAATTTTTATATTAGTTTTAAGTTGCTCTGAAAAATTTCCCTATTGTTGAATTTATTTAATTTTTGTTACTTTACTAATTATAATTATGGATAATTTTTTCGATTTGTTAAAAAAAATGAATATTAAAAACAATAGTCTCACAAATAGAAATTCAAAATACAAAATGTCAAACATAGTAATGTAAAAGTATGTAACATGAAATCTAAATTTTGTTCAATAAATTTAACATAAGAGAAATATATTAAGTTCATATTCAACTATAATTAAGTAAAAAAGTAATTAAACCCTATAGAACTTGAAGATTGGACATTCAAAATATATATAGATAAGATTTTTACTTAAGATCTACGAAACCAGAAAATAAAAAGAGAAAATAGCAATATACGCTAAATTTATATAAAAAATAATATATATATATATATATGTTTAACGGCTATAACAGTACTGTAACAGCAATGTAACGGCCGCTACGGCCTTTACGTAACGGTGGCGGCCGTTGCGGTCATGAATTTTTGCCACATCACTATAGCGGTCATAACGGTAGCGATAACCACTATAATCATTACATAACAACGTTAATAATTATTGCGGTTGCTTTTTAAAATCTTGAATATGACACTTTGAAATTTATATACCATATATCATTTTGGGTAGAGAATTTTAAACATTTGATAAAATATGAGCAAATCCTAATTTTTATACAATATATATATAATAAAAGACCTCAATTTCTTCAAAATCATAACTAACAAAAAATATCACACAATCAAGGTAAAACAAATATACAAAGAGGAGAAGAAAAGTCTCAAAATCAAATGCATCAAAAACGCGATCGGCTCAGGTCAAACCTCAACACACTCTATATTCCGTATCAAAATAGCAAGGTGAGATTCTAACTCTAGATATGGTGGATCGAATGTTTTGTGTGATAATAAAAAAATTATTTAAAAAAGGAAGAGACAGAAGAAAGGAAGAGAAAAAGAGACGGACGGAGAAGAAAAAAATGGAAGGAAAGAAAGAAATGATTGGATTTGTGAACTTCACATTATTGGGCAAAAAAATACCCATCATTGATCTACACAGCAAGAGTTTCTTTCTTCAGCACCATTCAGCTTGTTTGGTCCCACTGAAATTAATTTTTTTTAATTTTTTAAAAAATTAAATTTTTTTGTTTTTTATTATTTTTATTTTCACTGAATTTTTTTAATATTTTAAGTAATTTTTTAATTTTTAAATACACCTAACATAAATACACTTAAAAAGTAAAATATTTGTGAAAAAAATCTTTAAAAAAAATCACTAAATACCAAAAATATTTTTAAAAAAATACGAAAATTCAGTATATTTTTATATTCTTGTGTATTTATTGATTTTTTTAAAATATTTTATTTTTTAAATACATCTAAGTAAGGTACATCTAAAAATGTATGAAAAAAAATTGTTTAAAATTTTAAAAATATTCACTAAAAATTAAAAAATACGAAAAATAAAATATTCTATTTTCAAAAAATTAAATTTAAAAATTAAAATCAAACACAGCGATTAGCTTTGTCTAGTTTGATTGCAGAAGGATAAGCAAGTTTGTTTGCTTGATCTCTCTAGTAGTTAATTGTTAGCTTTTGTTTTCTTTTTTTTCTTTTTTTGAACTAAGGCCTTGTTTGACAACAAGCCAGTTTAGTCAAAAAGTTACTAAAAAAGTCAAAAAATCAACAATCCATACCAAAAAGTCAAAAATTCTTTTTTCTCTCTACTTTTTGCACATCTTTTCATAAAATGTCAAAAAATCATCCCAAACATACTAATTTTTTTTAGCTCATATTTTAGCCAAATAGCCAAAAAGTTACTAAATTAGCCTGTTCCCAAACGAGGCCTAAGCTTTTGTTTTCTTGGCTTGGGCCCTATCTTACCACAAAAATAAATAAATAAGTAAATTACACTAACACCCCTAAGATTTATGTTTAATACAAATCTCTTCCTCACATTTGAAAAATTATGTTTTTCTTTCTGAGATTTGTAATCTCATAACAAATTACCTCTTAAATTGTTGCTATCATGCTCTAAAATTTTCTAAATGACCATCTTGTCCTTTTTCTTACTATTTTTTTTCTTCTTATCATCATGACTACATTCTACACCTTTTCATCATTAAATTTTACGTGAACCTATTCTTATTCAATGATAATATACAAACATAAATTTTATATAGAATTTTCAAACACAATGATAGCTCAGCTTTCACTTTAAAACAAAACACTCATAAACATGATTTATATTTATAACATCATTATCATAACATTTTTATGATTTTTTTGTATAAATTTTATATATGAATATATATATTTTTTTTATTTCCGCCACTATACTTAAGATTATATTAATTTAATCTACATATATTTAAAAGTATAAAATTTATATAAGAAAATCAAAAAAAAAATCATTGAATACAACAAAATAAGATAATGTATTGAATTTTTGTTTTTTTATTTTATTTTTTTGTATTTGGTGAATTTAAAAAAAAATCACAAAATATTATACTTCTGAAGTATATCTAAATTAGGTGTATCTAAAAAATTTTAAAAAATGCTTAAAATATTTTAAAAATTCAGTAAAAATAAAAAAAGCATGAAAAATAAAAAATATTTTTTTTTTGTGTCAATTAAACCAAAAAAGATGAACAAAATATGTCATTACAATCTAACATATATAAAGTTTAAGGAATAAATATGTCATTGCAATCTAACAGAAGGTAAGTAAAATTTTTTAAACGTAAAGATAGGATCTGTATTAAATACGAGGCAAGTGTCATTAGTTATATAGCATCTTTTGTACTATTACTGAATTGTATGTAATTTTTTTTTATTTCTTTTCAAATTGAATTCAGCATTGATGGTCAGACAGAGTGACTATTTGTTTGTTAAATTTTAATTATCTTTAATGTAATATTTTTCGTTTATATTTATAATTATTCTCATAAATTTTGTTTCTATTAAAATCTTAAGATTCGTTTGGAATGTGGATCGAGTTTTTGAATTTTTGATTTTTTAGTTATTTTAGCCAAGAGTTAAAAAGTTTCATTTAAGATAGATTTTTTGACTTTTTTAATTTTTGTGAGAATAAAAAATAAAATAATTATGAATTAAATGTGATATTTCTCTTAAAATGATATGAACAATTTTTTTTCTTTCTTTTGGTGTCATTTAATCTTGTATTTTTATAAGGATAAATTACACTAATCTCATTTAATTTTTTTTTTTTATAAAAAAATTCAGTAAAAGTC